GTAGGGTGGGAGGCTTGGCCCTGTGGCCCATACGCTGCTCTGCTCAATTCATGTAGGCTCCCACAGGCCAGTCAGTTCAGGTCTGCTGTGAGTTGGTTCACAGGAGTTGATGGGGAGCTTAAAACCCTAAAAAAAGAAGCATCTACAGCCAAGGTCATGCTGAGAAGCTGTTGGAAATTCTGTTGGCAGATACTTCCCTTACCCTACTCCAGTCCCAGGCTGACCTTCAGTCCTCTCTTCCACTAGCTTCTTCCCTGTTTCTGTTAACTACAGCAGTCTTCCTTTATGTGCAGTTTCATTTCCCAAAGTTTTAGTTACCGGAAGTCAACCAAGTCTGGAAATATTGAATGGAAATTTCCAGGGATAAACAATTCATAATCTTAAAACTGGACATTGTTCTGAGTAACAATGAAATTTTGCATCCCCCTGTGCCCTTCACCTGTGACACGAATAATTCCTTTGTCCAGTGTATCCACACCATATATGCTACCTGCCCATTAGTAGTCACTGGCCAGCTCATTTATCAGATCCACTGTCACTATCACAGTATCACAGTATTTATGTTTATGTAATTCTTATTTTACTTAATAATGACCCCAAAGTCAAGCTTCAGACATACCAAAGAGAAGCTGTAAAGTACTTCCTTTAAGCAAAAAAAGTTAAGTCTTCAACTTCCTAAGAAAAAAATGACAAACACGATCACCTGAAGCCTGTGATCCCCTTCTGACCATATGGCAGAGGGTCGATAGAAGCCTAGCACTGTGACACAATGTCTGTACCATTTGACTTACTTAATCTCACCGTGCAGGCACCATATTATCTTAGAATATCGCAAAGAGGCTAAATCAGTGCAGTAGGGTATTTTGAGAAAATAAAGATCGTATTTCACATAACTCTTGTTTATCCTTGTTCTATGCTGCTGTTGTTGTTAATCTCTTTCTGTGTCTAGTCTGTGGGTTAAACATTACCATAAGTTAAATGGACAGGAAGAATACGGACTATATAGGGTTCAGCACTGTCCACTAGGGGTCTTAGAACATGCTTTCCAGGCATCACAAAGGAAGGCGGTACTACTATATTGTGGAATAACCAGCAGTGGGATACCAGAATTTGTTTCTCCAAATAATGTATTGTTGAGCTGGAGACAGTTAAGAAACAGCTGATACAGGAAACTTCCCTGCTCTCTCTCCATTTGCCTAAAAGCCACACAAAGATTTACAGGGACAAAAGATATGCCAACCCCACTTGCAACAAAAGTTAACCACAAAAGACAACTTTGTGCCCTTCTTGGCCTGGAGCTAGAACTGAGTTGGTCAGAGACCACTATATGAGGCTAAAGGGCACATCTACTCCTGGGCCCTTAACCTGTTACTCATTAAAATCAGGATTTGTGTTTCCGTTGGAGGCTGTAGGGGGCTTAAAAGCTGCTTTTGCCAGAAACAGTGACTCTTTATTTGGACCTACACACGTAACTAAAAGCAAAACAAAGCTTGTCCTTTATTTTTGTGTGTGTTTCCTCCATTACCTTATCTGCATCCGGGAATGTTAGTCATTTAGGGATAAGCTATCTAAGACCTGGCATTACAAGGTTGATTAGCCCTAAATTTATACAACCTTTTTCATCCCCCTTAAAGATGGAGGACTTCCAGAAAAAAAGATTTACAGGGACACTCAAGTGCCAATGGGCATCTAAAACTCTCCAGCTGTTCCCCTAAACCTGCATCACCTCAGATTTCAGCAGAGCCTCCAAAACTGAAACTGTCCCAAGCAAAAGTGGTCATTTCATGTAGATTAGCTGTCCTCTCAAGTGGTAAGGACTTTGCAGGAGCCGTCTTGTAAAACTAGAACTGAAATACTGACCGGCCAGGTCCTGACCCACTTCAGCAATCACTTAAACTCTGCCCTTGATCCTTTGTTAATGGGGTCAGTCTGAGCCACTTCATCTGAGCTATGCCTCCTTCCCCATTTTCTCAGCCTAATAAATCTGCCTATGCTTCTCAAGGACAGGTCCTGAAATTCTTTTCTGTGAGAAGACATCAAGGACTTGCTTGGACTGAGTTGAGGTCCTTTAGGGGAACCTTCTTGGGCCCCATCTGGTGGCAGTACCAGAGGAACCTACTTTAACAAGTTTTGCGTAGTCTTTATTTGCATTCCCACAAGTATGCTTTCTAAAGAGACTCACAGTCCTTTTTCTTTGTCTTGTCACATCTCTAAAACTTTATTGTGCTTTGTTGAGTATGCCACATCAGCTGGAATTCAAAGCTCCCTCTTTGAGAATTACGGTCTGGATATCTCCCAAGTATATATGAAATAAGTTTCTATTTTCCTCTTGTTAATCTGTCTTTTGTTATAGGAGTCCTTTTTGTTAGGGCTCAGAAAACGATAAATCTGTTTACGCCACCTGCATGCTGAGTGTTTTGAAGAAGCAGCCTCGATGTCTCTCTGACCTTCTCCCAACTCTTACTCTCTTGAAGCGCACAGGCAGCTTTCTCTCCGCATTCCCTCATCTGACTAGGGGAGTTCCTCCAGAGGGAATGCGATTATTTTACCCTGTTCCCTGCAATCTCATCAAACAGGAAACATGAGCTCATAGGAGAGTGGGTTACAGGAGGCGCCATGCCCAAAGCCCACACAATGTCTCAAGTGACTGCATTCTTGGGACTCATTCCTCTCCCCTAAAGATCACATATGCTTTCTCCAAATACACCCCACTTCTCTCTCTTGAGGTGTTTAAGCTTCTAAACCTCATCGTGTTATTGGATACTCCCTTTTCTAAGGTGTCCTCATGCTAGCAACAGACCTTTGGGCCGCTTCTCTTGTTGATCTACTGTCAGTTTGTTTCTGCTGACTCAATTACTGGATCTTCACAAAGTAGAAGAAAAGCACCCCCCACCACGCACACACAAGAAAGAAACCATGGGAATTGAAAGAAATTATTTCTTTTGCCAGGTGCGATGGCTCACAGTTGCAATCTCAGCATTGAAGTCAAGTTCAAGCCCAGCTGGGGCAATGTAATGAGATCCTGTTTCTAAATTTTAAAGAGATTATGTTTTTAAAGGACTGGGGGTATAGCTCAGTGTGAAAGGCTCGGGTTTTTGTTTCTTTTATAGAACCTATCCCCAAAACTATAAGATTCTTTTCCTGGCTTGATTCTGTGGATCATTTGGACAGCTCTTCTGCTGGTCCCACCTGGATCCCTCCCAAACCCATTCTGCAATCAGGTGGATGTGGCCTCTTTGCATGTGGTCTTTCCAGGAGCCTGGGTTTCTTCCCAAAATACAGAGCAAAACCGTCCAGGCTTCTTGAGTCCTGGCCTTAGAAACCACACTATTAAAAGCAACATCTTGCCTTCTTGGTAATCCATGGTAAGTGACTCCAGACAGAAGTGAGAGGGAGACTGGTGGAGATGTGGTCATTTGCGGTAACTCATTCCTTTCTGTCAGCCACAGATTCTGAAAAGCATTTATGGTCTCAATTCCCAGGACTTCCCCGAGAAGAGCCTGAGGCAGGATCACCCACGGGGACACGGAACCCCTCAGGAAAGGAAAAGCAAAGCCCAGGGATGGAAGAGCACACAGCTTCTGGGTTGGCAGCCATGATGCAGCACACGAGGAAGGACAGCAAGGCTGGCTCTCAGTGTCTCTTTTATTGCATGCTGAATCCCCAAACCTGCAGTTTGGCTGCAGGTACAGCAGCAGGAGCTATTTGAAGCTTACAGTGGTATTCTGTAGAGGTCTCATACTTGCAGGGCAGTTGGAGGAGATAAACAGACAGTACCGGGGTAGGGAACTAAGTTATCCAATACATGTTCAGATACATAACTGTGTCTGAGAGGCATGATTTTCTCCATTTAACGTACAAGAGGTTCTGCCAACTTCTGGACCCGTGCTGAACATTGTGCTTTCAAAGCAGCCGGCTTGACTTTAAAGACATCAGGATCATAGTATACAATATGCATAGGACCCCTGGAATAGCAGGAAAAGAATCAACCTGGGATAAGAGCACACGAAAAGGGAAATCACGTTTCAAGTGTTAAATCCTAGGCTATGGTCCCATTTTGATGTTCATGACTTCCACTTCCCAAGCAACTGAATGAGAGTACAGAGACATTATGAGAATCATTGACAATCAAATCCAGATTTGCATATCTGTCGGATTCCAAAGCTTTTGCTCTTTGCACAGAAAGTAAATTCTGGAAGTTTCTCAATAACTTGGCAATGTCAAAACATGCAAGACAGCCCTCTAAGGGACTAGAAAAAAATAATCTTTTTCTTCTTTCTTTCCTTTCTTTCTCTTCCTTCCTTTCTTCCCTCCCTCCTTTCTTTCTTTTTCTTTTCTTCCTTCCTTCCTTCTCTCCCTCCCTCCTTTCTTTCCCTCTTTCTTTCTTTCTTTTTCTCTCCTGGTGCTAGGGATTGAACCTAAGGCCGAAAACATGCTAGGTAAGTGTCCTACCACTGAGCCACACCTACCTCCCCATCTAACTTTGAAGTTTATTACTCTTGGCATCCAACCACCAAACAGTAACCTTGCCACTAAGATTAAAACCTCAATAAAGTGCTCCAGTGTATTCTTCCCCTCCCTTTTTTGAGGAACAGAAAATAAGCTTCATTTCATTTGATGATGAATTTTATGCTTTTAAGGGATAAAAAAAAATCCATGTTTTCAAAACATTATATAAGAATTAGCATAATTCTTTCCCCCCTGAGCTCAAGACTTTCACTTTTTCTGCTTCTTCTAGGTTTTCAGAAAGACTCTTCAAAAGAGGGTGAGAGAAGTCAAGAGTTACCCTTTAAAAAAAAAAAAGGGTTACCCTTGAAGGTCAGAATGGAGGATCGAGGTGAGTTAAGAGGTCCTCGAAAGAGTGAAGAGGAATGAGAGCCAATTTCATCTTTGTTAATTGTATTGTCCTATTTATTTGAAAGAGTGCATACATGAACATGATGTAAAAACACTGAAAAATATCAAAGCCCATTTAATAAAAAAACAGACCTTCCTCCACCCCAGTTCTTTAGGTCTCTGAAGACATTGCTCCTAGCTTCTTGTGTGTAGGCATGTGAAACCAATATATGGCACATTGTTATTTTTTGATACAAACAGCACACCCTATTATATGCTCTGTTTTGCAATTCCTTTAACTCAACAACATTGTTTTAGATAAATAATTTCCTATCCATGCCTTTAGAGCTGTCTCCTGGTTTCAACAATTAGTCCACTAGTCCTTATGTGGTAACCCTTATAGTTATGATAAGACCATCTATTTGTAATAATAAATTTAATAAGTGGATGAGCTGTTATTGCAATTTTTGTATTTGTCCTCTTCACTGGCCTTATGAGATCAGCTTCTGCCCTCTCCCCAGAGCCCCAGCCCCTCCTGCTCCACCTTAGCCTTGAACTGACACACCTCGAACTTGGGTTAGCTAGTTCCTGAACCCTGGGAGATGCTGTAGAATGGGTAGCAGCATAAGACACTGGCCATCGGGCAGCACGGGCAGGTAGGCAGTCCTGATGAAGAGGCTTGGACTTCGCCAGAGCTGCTATTCGGGGGCTAGGTGTGGCGAGCAAGGCACCAGGAGTTATCTATAGTGGAAGTAAAGAGATACAGTTATATATTCCAACTGTCACCAGCTGAAATCCATTTGAGTAGCTATTCTCTCCCAGACTCCTGCAACAGACTCCTAACTAGTCTCCCTGCTTCCATTCTTGTCTGTACCACCTGGCCAGTGTTTAGAGAACAAACATTTAGTGACCATGTTCCATGACACAAACTATGTTCTGAGCGATCTGCCACGTAACCACCAAAACAACTCCATTAGGTAAACTGTGCATGCGTGTGTGTGTGTGTGTGTGTGTGTGTGCACGTGCGTGCATGTGTGTGTGTTACTGAGGGCTGATCCCAGGGCACTTGCACTGAGTATGACAGCCCTGCTCTTTTTTCTTTTCAGACAGGGTCCCACTGCACTGCTGAGTTGCCAGGGTTGAGCTTGAACTCATGATCCCGAGGCCTCAGCCTCCCGGAGTGCTGGCATTATAAGCATACTCCACTACACCTCGCTGAGGCAAACCATTTCTAAAGCCCACGCAGAGAATGCCCACCCAAGTTTTGGGGGGTTTTTGGCACTGGGGATCGAACTCAGGACCTTGCACTTGCGAGGCAGGTGGTGGCACCACGGAGCTAAATCCCTGGCCCTTCCTCCCAACTTTTAAAAGCGCCCCACGGCTGTCCATTTTGCTAACAGTAATGCACAGGACGGACTGCTTCCTGTGCCTCCAAGCTCCTATAGTATCTGGCCGCGTCCCACTCCTCTCACCCTTTCATCTTTCCCTCCCTATCTTGGCCACACAAGTCCCTTTGGTTTAGCCTCTCCCGCCTCAGTTCTGCTTGAAAATTGTGGCTTGGCTGCCTCTTCCTAATTCAAGACTCTATTCTCAAAACACCCAGTCTGCAAGGAGGTCTTCTGGCCCCAAATAGATAAGCCTTTAGAAGTTCCCTGTCCTATAGCGCTCTCTCATCTACCCACACCTGAATTCACCCAACTGTTTCTTTATTCATTGTCTGCGTCTCCACCACTAGAATATAAACTGCTTGAGGTACTTATTTGCCAATAGCTGGAATGGGCTCTGACATATAACTGGTGCCAAATAAATATATGTTGACTGACCAACCCCCACTGAGTCCTATGTTAAAACCACATCTGCCAGACTTTCTGTTGTGTGGCTTTATTGGTGAAATAAGAAAGGTGACACTTAATTATCATTCTCTGGTAAGTGTTCATGCAAAAGAATTAGGATGAACAGTTAATGCCACTCTAGCCCTGAAAGCACCCCTTGGCTCTGTATAGAATATCATTTCCTGCAGTGGTAGTCCTCTTTTCTAACAGCTTTATAAAACCTGAAACACTCCTAGCAATAAAGGAAAGCTGTCTATAATTTCCATTCTGCATACCCAAAAAACCGAGAATAAACTCATTTCCCTACTTTCCCAAGGATTTGGGTTCCCAGAATGGCTTCCTTTCCTAATAGAATGTCACATTAAATCTTCAGTGCCCTAGACAGAGGAGGAGATTGCTCCCATCTCCTTTGGGAATATGATCAGTAGTGTTCACTGAGAATCCTGCTGAGATAGGGCATCAAGTCTGCAGGATTCACAGCAGGGAGTTTTGATGAGGTAGGGGAAGCTCAGTGCCATGCCCACCTCTCATCGCGGTCACAATGGTCATCTAATTGGGGACTGTTGTCCCCACAATCCTTTTGCTTGTCTTGCTCCCTCTACTCCAACTGCAAGCTCATCCCACCTGAAGACCTTGGCACTTACTCTTCCCTTCGCTGGAATCTTCTCCTAGATCTTCACTTATTTTTTCATTGTTTAAGTCAGCTCAGGCACTCGCTGATTACTGAGCTCTCTCCTATTTTATTTTCTTCATAGCATCTGTCACTACGTGATAGTATCCTGTCTCTCTGCTCATTTTTGCTGGTCTCCCCTCATCAGAACGGAGCTCCGCTCTATTCCCTGGGCACTGCACTGGCACGTGGGACCCCTTCAAGCACTTGCTGACTACAGCTCATGAAGAGTTGTCAACACTGCAGATCTGGTAGTGGTGGGGTGGGGATTTGAACCCAGCTCTTACTGACTCCAAAGCCTTGATCTCTGCCCTCAATTCTTCTCTCTCCTCTCCTCCCCTCCCCTCCCTTCCACTTCCTCTCCCTCTCCTCTCTCCTCTCTCTTTCCTCTCTCTCTCTCTCTCTCTCTCTCTCTCTAACTAGCTCTTCCTTCCCACCGCAGAGCACTCTTCCAAGATTCTCTTTTTCAGTGAGTGTGGGCTCTGCCATGTACAGGAAAAACAGCAACTCAGGAACAATGGGAAAGAGCTGAAGGATGGCAGGGGTGGTGGCTTACTGGACGTATGGGCATTTCACTTCTTTGTCTTTCATAGCACAGACCCTCTAATTTGATCCTTGGGTGGGCGAGGTCTATAATTCTTGGAGTTGCAACAGCACTCAGGGTGGTAATGGAAATTTTTGTCTCAACCTAGGGGAGAAAAATAAAACAGCACCTGTAAGACTCCAATAATAAGCACTATCTACTTCAAGATTACAATGTATATCCTCTGACCTCTGGACATACCTGTCAGCCATCCAGGAGAAAGTATCAGAATCGTATAGTAACTCCTGATCTCCGCTGAAAGGATCAACTTCCATCTTTCTCAAATAAAACTAAATAGATTCTAAGCAAAATTTGCAAGAACACAACCTGTTAAACTACAGATGTGGAGGAAATAGCAAAAATAAACTCAGAAATAAGTGGCAATGTTAATTTGTGGACTGATGAACTCAGGCAGGAGGAAGGCTCAGCCTTGTCAACCGAGGACTCTAAGGGCCCTCTCTTCCTTATTCTTAGTTATTTTTTGCTCTTTGGAAACTGGGACTCACACTACCACAGATCACTGTGCTAAAAGGAATTTATGTGACTCTCTTCTAATGCAAATGGAGAAGAACAAGGAATCAAAGCCAATGAAAAGAAAGCAGACCCATTCACAAGGCATGACCCCAAAATACAGTGAATGTTAGAAAATTCATTACAATCGCTTCTCGGCCTTTTGGCTAAGATCAAGTGTAGAAAATTCACATTCTTATGAACCCCTCCACAGTACTCCGTCTCTCATCCTCTTGCCACTTTGTGAAGCAGTTCTAGAAGTCCTCTTTCGTGAGTGTCCTCGGTTACACTGTGATGATCACCGCAAAGCTTTGCATTGATTTGAAGTGTTTACCTATCGCAGTCATTTTGACTTTGGGCAAGAGCCAGAAGTTTCAGGATGCTGGATCTGGTGAATAAGGTGGGTGAGGACCCACTGTGACGTCTTTACGAGCTGCCTCTCCATTGGATGGCACCTGGCGGTCACATTCACTGTATTTCTTGATCATGTCTCGTGAAAGACTCCAAAGAGGACGTCCAGAACTGCTTCATAAAGTGGCAAGAATGGTTGGGTTAGTGTGTTCAAAGCAAGCGGGAGTGTTCTGAGGGAGGTTAATAGTAATGTTTGTTTGCTATGATGATTTCTGTCAAATGTAAACATTTGTTGCATCTTTGGGTCATCCCTTGTACCTCTACTGCACCCTTAAGTCATCGTCTTTTTCTTTTTTCTTTTCTTTTCTTTTTTCATGATGCTGGGGCTCAAACTTAAGGCCTCACATGTACCAGATAAAAGCTGTCCACTCAGCCATATCATTGGCTCTCCCTCTCACATTTTTTTTGTTTGTTTGTTTGTTTTTTGAGACAGGGTTTCACTATGTAGTTGAGACTGACCTGGGCTCACTGCGTAGCCCAGGCTGATCTCAAACTCACAGGGATCCTCCTGCCTCAGCCTCCTGAGTGCTGGGATTGCAGGCATGCACTACCACGCCCGGCTCCCTCTCACTATCTTATTAATTGTGAAACATGGCTCAAATTGTATGGTCTTCTACTTAAATTACATATATTTAAGTAATTACTTGCCTAAGGATTTGAGGGGGAATAAAATCAATTACTGGAGATAAAATAGGACTTTAACTGTGAGTGGAAAAATAATACATAAAATATTTTCCAATTTTTTCTAAATTTTACGATTTAAATTATGAGAATGATGATATAACACTGGCAAGGTTTCAATATATTAATTTATTCCACACCTCATCTATCTTTTTCTTTTTCTTTTTTTCCTGAGACAGGGACTCTGAATGTAGCCCAGGCTGGCCTTGGACTTGCAGCAATCCTTCTTCCTCGGCCTCCTGAGTGGTGGGATCACAGGTGGCTTCGAGAATTATTTTTATTTCTACCTCACTAAGGATAGTACCAAGGCCTTGGAGGGTTCAGTCATGCAGGGCGTTAATGGTGTTAGGAAGTGGCAGAACTGGGGTTCGAACCGCGGGTCCTTCGTGTATGTACGTCACGCAGCACGAAGTATTTCCTACGGATTAAAGCTTTGTCACCTTTCAGGCTATGAGCAAACTGAAGACGTATATGACAACCGCTCCCCTCAGTTAAGGCTTTCAATCCAAAAGGAAATAAAACAACCATTCATTCAACCAAATTCATTAAATAAACATTTCTCAATTTATTACATAAGATACAACAAAGAATGACAAATCATAGCTGCTTCTTAAATGTATGTGACAATGCAAAAGGCCTGAAACAGCCAAAACAAAACCTGGCAAAGCAAAACAAAATTAGAAGACTTACGCTGTCTTATTGTAAGACACGGTCTAAAATCACAATAGACAAGACTGCGCAGTATCGATGTAAGAACAGACCAGGAAAGCCAGGTGTGGTGACAAACCCCACGACACTAGCATTTCGAAGGCAGAGGCAGGAGGGTTGTGGCTTTGAAGCCAGCCTGAGTTACATAGGGAATTCACAATCAGCCTGGGCTATATAACGAGACCTTGTCTCAGTGAGCCAAAAAAGAAAAAGAAATAGACACGCAAATAATTAGTACAGAGTTGGGAATTCAGAAAAAGACAAAGTAATTCAATAGGGAAAATAAAGTTATCAAATTGAGCCAGAAAAACTAAATACCCATGTGGGGAACAAACAAAAAAACGAAATGCAGATCTCACATATAAACATAAAAGTAAACATTATAGACTCTGGAAGAAAATGTAGAAGACCTTCACAAGCTGAGAGTTAACAAAAGCTTCTCAGGCTTGTCACATGACGGAGACCTGCTGTGCAGGGTGGAACTGGCTGCCCGCTCTGGGTTAGGGTGGACGCTGCCGGCAGGACGGAAGCGACTTTAGGGCAGCACTTGGAGGACACAGTGAAAAATCCATCCATGCTGGAGTCCCGTGTACAGATTCAAAAGGACTGAATCTGGATTGCCGTGGGACTGTATCAGAGGAGCATGCTGGGGGGTGATCTGTTTTGGCACAGCAAGCAGCTGAACTGACCTCTGACCCCAGTGGCATTCCTGTGGTGTGTCTAGAATCAGCTGATGGGAACATTATCACTCAGAAACATGATAGCGTCACGGTGACAGTGCACAGCACGGCCTCTGGTGTTTCCTGTCAGTTCCTCAGCACCCTTTCACTGGGACTCAGCCCTACTTGCTAATTATCTTGTCAAACAACTATTACAGTTCCAGTGATTAGGCCGTTCATCTAATGTTGTATTGGTCATTTTTCTATTTATTTTGGAGTAAGTTCCTTTGTGACCAACCTATCGATATGAGTAAGAAAGGATCATGTTTTGAGGCAGCAGGTTCAGGTTACTTTGTATGTAGAATTTTAGGTTCATTTAATCTGTGTAGAGGAAAAACAAAACAAAAAGAAACTTCTCAGGACACCAAAAGCATTAACTATAAAACAGATTGACAAGTTAAACTTCATCAAACTTACAACACCTTTTTCTAAAAAGATAATATTAGCAAACTTAATAGCTTAGCCATTGACAGGGAGAATACATTTGCAAATCCATAACCCTCAAGAAGGACATGAACTCAGAATAAATAAATTTTTAAAATAATTAATAAAAGCAAAGTCTTGCAATCCATTTTTAAATAAGCATAAGCTTTAATAAGACAGAAAAACTCCTTATTTAAACACAAAATGATTATAATGTAGAAAACCTGAAGCTAAGAAAAAAGAAAGAAAACCCCAACTACAGCTAAATGACAGAAGATGCAAATGTCCAATGTTGCCACGTATCTGGGAATATAAATTAAAGCTAGCTGTGGTGGTGCACACCTGTGATCCCAGCACTTGAGAGGCTGAGGCAGGAGGATCATGGTGTGTTTGAGGACAGCATGGGTAACGTAGTGACTTCAAGGTAAGTTTGAACTACATCGTGAAAGCCTGTGCCAAACAAACAAACAAACAAACAAACACAAATACAAATCACAATAAGGTACCAGCATCTCACTAAAATGGCTAAAAGTTTTAAAGACTGACAATGCCAAACATTGACAAGTCTGAACATCAGAACCACTCATATATAGCTAGTAAGAATGAAAAAGATAATTTGTGGTTGAGAGTAACAATAACAATAACAATAACAACTCGGCTTCCTTAGCAGGAAAGTGTTATTGCTAACTTGAGAAAAATGTGTAACTAGCTCTTAGAAAACTAGGAGAATCAAATCATGGAGTTAATATTTTGTGAGGCGAACGTGACAACCACTACACTACGGAAACCCGTGATATTTTGTGTAAAGAGTAAATATGCACAACAAACAATGAAATTGGAGTATGGACCATCCGGTAGATACAGAACTATTTACCAGTGTTGAATTTCCTAATTTTGATAATAGTGATTTCTGTGGCTTTATAAGATAATATCCTTTTTCTTAGAAAGCTAGCACTGAAGTATTTAGGGAAAAGAGGATCTGTCTATAGCTTACTCTCAAAAATGATTCAGGAGGGGCCAGGGATTAGCTCAGTGGTTCTGCCACCTGCCTTGCAAGCTCAAGGTCCCGAGTTGGATCCCTGGTAACAAGGGAAAAAAAAATCATTCAGGAAAAAAATTTCACACACAGCACACACACAGAGGAGGAGGAAGAAGAGTAAAGAAAGAGAACAAAATGTTAATTTCTACAACTCTTCAGCAAGTTTGAAATCATTAAGATTAAAAACTGAATACTAAAAGAAAAATATTTGCATGTTTAAGAAGATTTGGTCTATTAGAACAACAAATTTGCACCTGCAATTTTAAACAACTGAGAAACTGGGTTAGAATTAAGACATTATGTTGAAATCATAAGTCTTTATGTACTGAGCATTAAAAAAAATTCCATTTTACCACATTTATGAATTTAGTATATTAAATTCTAAGATAATGACATATTTCAGGAGACCTTTTTTTGCTATTGTACAAGGTTGAAGTAAAGTACTTAAAAATAAATCAAATACATTTATCAGAAATACTAAATTGTTTGAAGGTATTTTATTAGTTAGGCTTGGAAATGACCAAACATTATTCAGGACTCTTAAAATACATATTAACAACTACTAGAATTATAAATAGAAGAATAAAGTTTGCAGCCTAAATCTAAAAGCCTAAGAAAAACTTTTCATTTGAAATTTAAACTTTTCATTTAAATTTAAATTTGCATTAGTAGCCACGCTCAAGGGTACCAAAAGACTCCGATCACTGGGCGGAGCAGCATTTTGTAAGTGCCTATAAATTGTTTGAGGCCTCTCTCATGGAGAGGTAATCTGGCCAAACACAGCTGTGATTGCAGTGATGTGTAACCCCCAAGGCCAAGCCAAAGAAAACCCAGGCAGCCCCACCCACCGCTCTTGGAGCGCTCACCCTGGGATTCCCCACTTCAGGGTACTTAGGTCCAGAGGTTCATGCTCCACAGAGAGGCCACGCCGAGGTGCTCCTGCGCACCCTGCCAATGGCCACCAGCCCCAGTTGCCTGGCCCAGGCACCACACACAGGTGTCCCTTGGGCTGACCGTTTGTGTCTCTCCAGAATTCCTATGTTGCCAGGTGTGGTGGCGCATGCCTGTAATGCCAGCACTTGGGAGCCTGAGGCAGAAGGATAACCAGGAGTTCAAGGCCAGCCTGGGCTACATAGCAGGACCCTGTCTCAAAAGAGGAAACAAAACAAAAACTACAAAAAACAAAACAAAACCTTCTGTGTTGAAGCCCTAAGCCCCAGTGTTTTGGTATTCTGAGCTATGGCCTTCAGGAGGTAATTAGGGCTAGATGAGGTCATGACAGCAGCCATCCCTATAATGGGATTAGTGTCCTTATAAGGAAAGGAGAGAAACCAGGTCGATTCCCTGCTTCTTTCTCTCACCGACCCCCCCCATTCTCCTTCCCTCCCCTGCTTCATCAATGAAGTAAGGGAATCAGGTGAGTGCAGAGCAGATGACAACCACCTTGCATGCTAGGAAGTGAGTGAGCCTTCTCCCAGAACAGAATCTTCTGCCTCCTAATATTGGACTTCTCAGCTTGCAGAACTGTGAGAAATAAGTATCTTTCATTTAAGGCACCCAGGCTGCGGCATTAGCTTATCATGGCTTAGGCTGACTAAGACAGGTATGGTTCCAGCCCCTACCATTTCAGACACCCAAGGAATGACAGGTTTTCCAGCTGAGACTGTGAGCACAGGGCACAGACAGGCTGTATCTGCTTCCCTGTCAGAATTCCTGACTCATAAAACCCATAATAAAAAAGTGGAGTTCTTTTATTGCCACTAAGTTTGGGGGTGGTGTGATACGAAATAATAGACAACTAGAACAGAACCATAAGGATGGGGTCTCTATATTAGTTCTACATGGCCTAGAGTTTGTTTTCTGAGATGATTAGACGTAAAAGCATTAATGAGCCTATTAGTGGCTCTTGGCATACAGTGGCAAAACAGAAATTGAGGCTTTTGGGATCAGTAGTTGCTGCCAGAAAACATGTCAGTGAAATAAAGAAGGGTAGTGTGGCTAGCTCTCTGATTCTAAGTGCACTGAAACAATGAGAAAGGAAATGATCAGCTCAGGCCTTCTAATCCCCCAACCCCATTTTAAGGCCCAGATAAGGGACCAAGGAGCTTTTGTGAGTTCCTTCTTAGAAACCCTTATCTTCTATTGTCATGGGGCTAAAAATTATGAAAAGCAAAAACTAATTCTGTGAGTGGATGAGTCCCAGTGCAAACTGAATCCCTAAACTTGCATAGTCCCTTATATTAAAGTTTGACCAAAAATGAGAAAAGAAGGAAAAAAAGGAAACAAAAGCTTTTGTAAACAGGGAGAGGTTGAAAGGAGGAAAAGGGAATAGGAAAAAATAAGAACCAAGATATATCATGTATAGTTACAAATTCCCAATGATGAATGCCATCATAATGTATACCTAAGATGTACCAATAAACTTACTGACTATAAATAAATAAAGTTTGATCAGTGACTGGGAAGGATTGGGATTGCATTATGTGATTAGAACCCAATGAAGGGATTTAAAACCCTTAAATACTACTGAACCTCCCTTACCATTAGAATCAGTCCTTCTACCCCTGAGGAGGTTGGATGCCCCAGGCCCAGGTGCCTTCCAAGGAGCTGTCCACCTATTCCTGCATCTCTCTTCGCTTCAGATCCAAGTCCCAGCCACAGTGACAACCTGCTGTGAGGACCTGCCAACAACATCTCCACCAACTCCCACAACTGCTTATGAGTCAAGTTTATTCTATGTCACTAATGCCTCTGCTTCTCTGTCCTTTCCTAACCAACACCTTAGGCATAGGGGTGAGAGTCAGAAAAGTTTATTTGATGATAGCGGAAAATACCTGGAAATAAAAGGAAAATCCTCACCTAGAAACAAGAGAGGATCGTGTCACAAAGTGGGTCACAAACTACATCTTTCACACAGAAACACTTACGCTTCTTGGAGGAACATAGTTTGGATCTATGCCTTTGGCCACTGAGAGCCGCAAAACCCGGGGAGAAGGATCAGAGACTCGAAGAGAACCTCTTGCTAAGTGATCGCTGGAGGATCTACATGCAAATGAAAGCATGAAATATTATAGCTGTTGGAGAAAAGAATAATAACTGGATTTTTTTCCTTGTTACAGTCAACCTTGTATCCATTATATATATACCCTTTCAATTTTAAGAATTCTTCCCATAATCCTAGTACTCTTTTGACCAGATTGGTCTTTCTCACAATCTCTTCATCATAATGCACAGTTACAAAGCACATTTTATACCATGGTATGGGAAACATAAATGTGTGCTTGTGTACACGGAACAAAATTATGATGAAACAAGGCTTATCCTGGATGATATATTCTGATTTTCAAAATTTTTAATTTGATTTCCGGAATTAATATCATGATCTATTATGGATGGGCTGTGACCTGCAGTTTGAAAAACACACATCACTTCCTGTCAGTACCTGAGACTAAATCTTCAAGATAAGAATACCAGCCACCACTGAGGATGTTTCAGGGATGGCTGTTTCTGCTGCAGCACAGTTTGAGACGATGCCGGTCAGAGCTCCCGGCCACTTAGCCAATTGTCAGAGGCACCCAAATATTTATTTTCCTGACCCAAAACTACCAACCAACCCACAGTTCTACAAACAATGTGGAAATGGTTTTTCTCAAATAACATTATTACCCTGTAGGGGTAGACTGTTGGAAGCTTTTATCATCATCATCATTATTATTGACATATAATTAACATACCATAAAATTTACCCTTCAAACTGGACAATTAAATGGTTTCTAGAATATTCACAAAGATGTGCAACCACCAACACGAAATGTTTTTGTTCCCTAACAAAGAAGCCCCATAACTATTAGTAGGCCTTCCCCATCCTCTAAGAACCACTAATCTACTCTCAGTCTCTATCAAGAAATTTTAAATAAATAGAATTATACAAATATGTATCCCTTTATGTCCGGATTCACCAATTCATACTGAATAACATTTCATTTTATGATTCACTACATTTTGTTTATCCATCCACCCATTGATGAACATTTAAGCTGTTGCCACTTTTGGGCTATTACACATGTGGCTGCTGTGATTTATTTATTTATTTTTGTATCAGGGATCAAAGTCAAGATCTTGTGCTTATGAGGCAGAGAACAGCACCACTGAGCTAAATCCCTGGCCCTGTTGTGAATACTTTAATTTTTGTGTAAATATGTTTTAATTTATCTTGGTATGTGCCCATACTGCATGTTAACATTTTGAGAAACTGCCAAACTTTTTTTCCACATCATCTATATCATTTTACATGCTACCAGAAATATAGAAGGGTTTCAGTTTCTACACATTTCCTCCAACACATACTATTTTCTGTTTACTTTTTATTATTTTTATCTCCACTCTTAGAGAAGTTATTTCTTGCTGTAATTTTAAATTGCATTTCCAGAAGGATGAATGGTGTTTAGCATCTTTCATCTGCTTCTTACCCATTTGAATAAAATCATCAATTCATAATGGGATTATATCTCAGTAAACCTATTGCAAGGTGAAAATAACATTAAGTTGAAAGTGCATTTAATAACCTAACCTAAAGTATTAGTTATTTACCCTTGGGATCCCATGGTTGACTGGGAGGTGTGGGTCATTACTGCTGCCCGGCATCGAGAAAGAGTGGTCTTAGTCATAAAGAGGCCAAATTTCTAAGTATGATTTCTACTACACGCATATTATATTAGCACCATCATAAGGTTAAAAAAAAATGTAGGTTGAATTATCTGAAGTCAGGCAGGCACTGTATCTTCTTTGGAAGCCCCATTCATTTTAAAAAGTGGGTTATTTGCTTTATATTGTGGTTTTTAAAATTATTTATATATATATCTGGATTCTGGTAACTTATCAGACATATTATCAGCAAATATTTTCTGCCATTTTGTGGGCTGTCTTTTGATGTCATAACTAAGGAATCATTGCCTATTTCAAGATAACAGAGATCTATGCCTTTTTTTTTTCTTTTAAAGATTTTTACAGCTCTTTAGGTCTGTAGCGCATTGGAACTTCTGTACATGCTGTGACACAGGATCCAATCTCAGCCCTTCACTTGAGGATATCCAGGTATACATCACCAATTGTTGAATCTCTCTTGGCATCCTTCACAATTCAACTAACCATAAATGTAGTCTTATTTCTAGACTATTATTCTACTCCATTTACCTAAATGTCTACCTTGATGCCAGTAATGCACTGTGTTGATTACTACACCTTTTTAGTTAGTTTTGAAATCGCAGACTATGTCTTCCAACTTTGTTGTTTTTCATGCTTTGTTACGGTTTGTATCTAGATGTACACCCAAAGCCTCATGCACTTATAGGTGGGGCTTTCCGGAGGTGGCTGGATCTGGAGTGTGTGCATATGGATTAAGGGTGTGTGGTGTCTGGGTTAGTCCCCCAATTGGATTAGCATAGTTCTGGGTGGGGCTGAATGGATTTACTGAAGAGAGAAGCCTCATCCTGGGTGCAGGTGGCACCAATGAATAGGCTTGTGGCCTGGAAACAATATGAAGGGACAGAAAGAAGGCAGGCTCACTGCTTTCTGTCTGCCCTGCCACGGACTGTTTCTCCTCTGCCATGCCGCCCTCCCTTGGAACCAGCTGACTGTGGACTGAAACCTCTGCAAACGGTGAGCTAAAATAAACCTTTCCTCCTTTCACCTTAGGTGTTCGGTATTTCGTCCGAACAATGAGAGAAGTAACTAAGATGTTGTTTTTTTTGCTACTCTAGATTCCTTGTATTGCTAAACCAAATTTAGAATTATCTTATCAATGTGTAGCAAAAAAGCACCTAGAATTTTAAAAGAAATTGCACTGTATTTGAATATCAATTTGGGGAAAACTGCCAGTTTAACAAAATTAAGGGTCTAATCACAATGATTTTTCATTATGTAAGGCTTCTTTGATATCTTTCAACAATGTTTGCAATTTTCAGTGTACATGTCTTGCAGTTCTTTTGTTAAATTTATTTTTAAATACTTTGTCCTTCTATTATTTTAGTTGTGGTAAAACTACACATAAAATAGAATTTACCATTTTCACCATTTTTATTAAGTCATAGTGCAGTGGTGCTGGGTACGCTCACATTCTTGTGCATCTAAGTTCCAGAAACCTTTCCCTCTTGTATAACTCTTAACCAATAATACAGCTAATTCCCCCTCTAGCCTGTCCCTGGCATCCCACTCTCCTTCTTTCCTCTTTCTTTTTTTTATTTTACAGTGTTTTTGAGTCAGGATCTTGCTATGTAGTTCAGGCTGAACTTGAACTCACTATGTAGACCAAATTCACTTCGAATTCATGACAACCTGCCTACTTCACCTCCTAATTGGTGGAATTACAGGTGTGCATCACACCCAGTGCCACACTCTGTAGTCTCTATGAATTTGACTAAATTTAGTACATCACCTGAGTGGAATCACACATTACTTACCTTTCTTGACTGGCTTATTTCACTTAGCATAGTGTCCTCAAGATTCATTCACGTAGTAGTACATGTCAGGATTTCTTTATATTTAATAGCCAAGCAATATTCCATTGTACATACACTTTCATTGACACAATAAATTGTGCTTCTCTGTCTCTAATAACATTCATCTGAAATGTATATCACCTGAGATCTATATAGCCACTCCAGCTCTTTTTTGGTTGATTCTGTATATTTCTTTCCATACCATTGATTTATTTTTTTCAGATAGGGCCTTGAATTTATTATTTAGCTCAGGCTGTCCTGGAATTTGTGGTGATCCTCCTGCCTCAGCATCCTGAGTTCTGGGATTACAGACATGTGCCACCACACCCAGCCTATTCCTTCAATTTCAACATGTGTGTTTCTTTGACTCTAACATATGTCTCTTATAGACAGCATATAGTTGCATACTTTGTTATTCACTCTATCAGTCCTTGCCTTTTGATTAATGTTTGGTTCATTTACTTTTAATGTAATTATTGACAAGGTGAGATTTATACTTGCCACTTTGCTACTTGTTTTATAGGTGTGCTACATTTTTCTGTTTCTTTATTCCTCTATTCTTCCCTTCTATTGTGTAGTATGTTTTCTAATGTACCATTTTGATTTCCTTGCTTCTTCTTACTATATTTTAAAAGTCATTTTCTTAGTTGTTTCCATATACCTCTTAATTTGCAGCAATCTGGTTCAGATTAATACCAAATTAACTTCTATATAACTATGTTCTTATATAATCATCCCTTACCCTCCTTTCTGCTTTTCTAAAACATTGTATGCTCATGAAAATAGATTTATTACTTTTGCTTTGTGCAATTGTATTTTTTCTTTCCAATACTGGGGATCGAACTCAGGCCCTTGCACTTGCAAGGCAGGCAGCAGAACCACTGAGCCAAACCCCCAGCCCTGCAAATGTACTTTAAATCAAGCTGGAAAGTAGGAGTAATAAACAAAAAATACATTTATATCATCTTTTATACTTACCTATATAGTACATTCTATTGGTACTCATATTTTTGTATGAATTCAAGTTATTGTCTAGTGGTTTTTCATTTTAACTTGAGGGATTCCTGTTAGCATTTCTTATATAGTAAGTCTTCCTGCATGTCTCAAATTTTTATTTGAGGATGTCTTAATTTTGTCTCCATTTTTGAAGGGTAGTTTTTCTAGATAGAGCATCCTCAGCAGATAGTCTTTTTCTTTCAGTGTTTTAAATATTTTATCTCACAAATAACTATGTCAAAAGTTTTAAATATGCTTGACCACCATGGTTTCTGATGAGAAATCACATATTAATCTTACTGCGGTGGCTGTCGACAGTTTTCTTATATGTGTCAAGTTGTGGTAGACTTGTCTTTCTGCTTTGGAATTTGTAGAATTTCTTGAATGTGCAATATTTTTCATAAAACTTGGCATGTTTAGGGCATTATTTCTTTAAATTTTCATTCTGCCCTTTTATCTCTGTCCTTTCCAATGGGATCCCCACTATGGGTATGTTGATTGTCTTGGTGGGATCCAACAGGTATCTGAGGCTCTGTTCATTTTACTTCTTTCTTTTTCCTTTATGCTGCTCACCTGGATGATCTCAGATGAACTATCCTCAAGTCTGTGCACAGTGCTCCAAGTATCTGCTAGGTCTGAAATTAATGTTAAGAGTCAAAATGCTCTTAAAAGCCAGTGATTTAAAACATCCAAATATGTTGACTGGTCTGAGTAGGAGTTGCACACACTGGCAAGCAGACAGCACCGTGGACAGGGGCAAAGTGAGTTAAGACAACACCACCCTGTTCTCTGTCTGTGAGCTCTGACAGTCACTATCAAAAGCGACTCAGGGTGACAGCAATGGAGGCAGAAATTCTCCAGCTCCTCCATCCAGGTCTCTGGTGATGAGGAACTCAGGGACCTGTGACAGCAACTCGGCTTCCTCAGCAGGAAAGTGTTATTGCTAACTTGAGAAAAATGTGTAAGTAGCTCTTAGAAAACTAGGAGAATCAAATCATGGAGTTAATATTTTGTGAGGCGAACATGATAACCACTACACTATGGAAACCCGTGGTATTTTGTGTGAAGAGTAAATATGCACAACAAACAACAAAACTGGAGTATGGACCATCCGGTAGATACAGAACTATTTACCGGTGTTGAATTTCCTAATTTTGATAATAGTGAATTTCTGTGGCTTTATAAGATAATATCCTTGTCAGCTGATTCTCTTTGACCTGCTCAAGTGTGCTGGTGTATGGAGCCCCTTCCAGGGTTACAGAGGCAAAGCCCACATCATAGCCCATTTATTGGAGAGTCCTACTTATTTTCACTAAGTTTTTTTTTTTTTTTTTTTTTTTTTTTTTTTTTTTTGAGACAAGGTCTTGCTATGTAGCCCAGGCTGGACTCAAACTCATATCAATTCTCCTGCCTCATCCTCCCTAGTGCTGGGATTATGGACATGCACCACCACACCTAGCTTTACAGTCTTGTTTTCTTCCCTTCACATGATTCTAACAAGCTTGGTTATCTGTTTCCAATATCAGAAGATCAAAAAAGAGGAGGGTTAAAAGATTATCCCCCAACAAAAGAGAAAAGACAGGAAAACCATGAGAAGCAAATATCGCATAATTTAAAAGCCTAGAAGTCCAACTATTTAGCTAAGGATGAACTGTGCTTTATACTTGCATAGCACATGAGAGGCTTTCTAAATTAAAGTATTACATAGTAGTTTCTGTTCATAATCAAGATTGTAATCCAGTGAAAAAGGCTGCAAAGAGGCTGGGTGTAGATCAGTGGCAGAGCATGTGCTCGACATGTGTAAGGACCTGGGTTTAATGCCCTACACTAAAACAAACAAAATTCACTGCGTACCGAAAAGAATGGAGATTGTTGTCCATTTCTCATTTTTCAGGGCTGGGGATTTAGTTCAGTGGTGCTGCTGCCTGCCTCATCTTTCATTTATCCAGATAATCACTTCCATTGTTGGGGAGCTGGTCTCAAAGATTTCTCTACACTTTGCTGACATCTGCTGCCCTAAAAACTCCTTGTTTTACTTCTAGTTTCAGGATCGACCTAAAGTAACTTTGCTTCCACCTCTTCTTCCTCTTTCAGATGTCAAGCTGAACATTTGGACATAACTGTCACTCCTTCCTCAGTGCCTACTCCAAGCCAAACATGCCATTTCCCTTAACTGTTTTTCATATAACAGTTTCCATAAGCCTCAATATCTCATCTCCTTCTAAGCAGGTGTGAGTTTATTATCAACTCTTCAAGTGTAACTTCCATACTGTAAAACTATTGCGTTTAAAGCGGCACTGAGTAGCACTGTCACAGTACAGCAGTACTTGTGGGCCTGTGTACAAGTGATATTTTATATATTCCACTAATGCAACTGAACCTGGCTTTAACTTTCTTCCCCAACACAATCACCATCTTAGCTCTCAAGGGAAAGGCATATCTAAAGCTAAGCTATCTTTTAAAGACAAGGAGAAATTCAGCTTTAAAGGCAAAAGGAAAACCATCTGCAAAGTCAGAGACATAAGAAAACAGCAGGAGGGCCAGGGATGCAGCTCAGTGGCACTGTGCCTACCTGGCAAGCACAACATCCTGAGTTCAAACCCCAGTACCAAAGGAGGAAAAAATTGTCAAAATCTGTAGTGTACATTTTCAGATTTCCTTTTAGGGTTTTTTTTGTTTGTTTGTTTTTTGTTTGTTTGTTTTGAGCAGGGAGTGGTACCAGGGATCAAACTCAGGACCTTGCACTTTAGAGGCAGGTGACAGCACCACTGAGCTAAATCCCAACCCATGTTTGTTTTGCTTTTGCAGGGCTGAAAGATTGAACCTACGGCCTCACACATGCTAAGAAAATCCTCTCACCCATAAAGTTTAATGTGAATTTCAGCTTTACCAAAATTTGAATCAAATGTGATTGATGAGGACCTTCTGATTACTTACAATTGCTACAAGTACTTAACTTTCTTACCAGATACTTTGAGACACAAGTAGACTATAGGTCATGAAAGTTAGACCAATGATATTGGGACATGGAACCAAATTAGATTAGGGCTTACAGAGATTCTCAAGATACGCTACCCATTTCGCAGGCACTGTCTTTTGAATCTGTTGGGCTGTGCCAGCCTCTGGATCCTCTTGGAGGGCTGAGTAAACAATGCAGGATGAGGAATTTTCCAAATTACAGACTCTCTTCCACAGCTATAGTAATATTGGTCTCTGCATGTTGTAGAAGAGAAAAAAAAATGAGCAAAACAGCATAAATTCAAAATTATCATAGTATTTTCCAACACCTATCCCCAGGCCTGAAAGGGCAAGGAGGATGTTTTACATGCTTATTGTGGGGCTATTTTTCACACAAGAAGAAATGAATTGTTTTAGCAATAAATACAGCTAATCAGGTTTTCAGTTCACTTCTATATCTTATGCTAAACCTAAGTTTCTGTAATAAACTGCAATTTTTAAGTAGACCAAAAGATCAACAGGAGAAACTTTGCTGCTTTTAAAACCAAATATTTTATCATCTACATAAATAATTTAAAATTGTTTGCTATAAATTCTTAGGTGTAGAAGTAAATTTGACTTAATCATTATGTGTAGATTATTGAATCATCTTGGAGGTTTGTTAACTAAAATTGTATTTAGGATAAATAATAATATTGTCCTTATTATCTCTGCCTTTTATTCTGGTGCTAAGACCAGTTACTGTGAACAATAAGCAAAGGAGGTAAAATGGAATTTTAAAAATCACAGTTCATAGTAATCAAACCCATGGATTTAAAATTCATCAAAGTTTAATGCATAAATAGGTGTATTCATTAACAGTGTTATATACAGCACAAACATTTGGGAATATCCTAAATCTTAACAAGAGGGGAATTTACCTCCTGAGTAAAGCCAGCCTTGGCTGCTAACACTGACCTATTAGGTACGTAGTGGTGGGAGACTTTCTTGGGCTGAGCAAGGTTGCTAAGTCTCTTTGTTAGCTGAGCTGTCAAAGCACTCTCAGAAACAGGGCAAATAGGATCTTGATTTCCCCAAAACAGTCTTCTGTTAAAAAGCATAAAAATAAAATGATCAAAAATTTGCTGCTAATGAACATCTTGAAAATTGCTCTCAACAATTTCTATATAGATTTTACTTCAATAACTATGTCAAAAGAATTGGACCATTTCCAGGCATTAGAAAGCATAGAAGTTAAAACAGAAATAAAATAAGACTATTTTACCCACTTAAAAAGTAATCAGAAATGAGGGTCGGGGATTTAGCTCAATGGCACAGCACCTGCCTGGCAAGCTCAAGGTCCCCAGTACCAAAAAAAGAAAGAAAGCCGGGCATGGTGGCTCACACCTGTAATCCCAGCACTTGGGAGGCTGAGATAGGAGGACCTCTGCAAATTTGGGACCAGCCTGGGCTACACAGTGAGTTCCAGAGCAGTCTCAGCTACATAGTGAGACCCTGTTTCAAAACACCAAAAAAAAAAAAAAAAAAAAAAAAAAGAAAGAAATGAATCTTTTACAGTACGTTAAGATAAGACCTTTCTATGTCTACCATTGTGGAATTAATGGTGTGACTTACATTGAGTGAAACCCAGTACCAGTCAGGGAGTAAGATAGTAACAGAGCAGTGTGGAGATCAGCCATCTGTGGATGGTTTCCTGTGTGCCCTACACTGTGCTAAGTGCTTTACAGACCGGTTCATCTGGTCTCAACAGTCCTGAGAAACAGAAACAATTGCTGTGGTGGGGTAAAGCAAAAAGGAGAAGCCAGTACAGGATTAACCTGGAAAGACTTCAGGGATGAAAGCAAAAGGCAAAAGGCTTCCAGAAACACAGCCCATAACAAGGAATATGGGAGATAAGGAGAGATGGAGATCATCCAGACTTAAGCCAGGAACCTGTGGGTGCCGATGAAAATCATGCTGGGACTCACGTTACCTAACACTGCTACAATCAATAAAGAGGGTAAAAGAAGGCCAGGAAAGGAAAGGAGAGAAGGGGAGGGGAATAGGGGACAGAAAGGAAAGAAAATATGGAAACAAAGCTTTTGTTGTTTGTAAATGAGGGGAAGAGGAGTTGAAGGGGGGATGAAAAAAGAAGAATCAAGATATATCATGTACAGGTACAAATTCCCTATGATGAATGTGATTATTATGTATATCTAAAATGTACCAATAAATGTTTTACTTAAAAAAAAAAGCCGAGGATGTATCTCAGTACTGGGTTCAATCCCTAGTACTGAAAAAAAAAAGTACAATCTCCTCACTGTAGCTGAGGCCTTCACACTTTGGACCAAGACTGACTGCCTCATGCTTAATTTTTGGAGATTGTCCCTTGCATAGTTCAGTACCAAACACTAAAAATACTCAATAATAGGTTAATGAATGAGTGGTGAAAAGCAGGGATTCATTTGATAGCACTGGAGAGGAGAGAATGACCACAAACCACAGGAAGAGTCTGAGGCTAATGCAGAGGTGCAGGCCTCGGGACAAGGACCAGGAAGGGGAGAGCCACACAGGGAGAGGAGAACTACATTCCCCGTGAAAGGAGCACTGAGCAAAGGCAAGTGCACCATGGAACAGAAGTCAAGGAGAGGATGGTCTTGAAACAAGGCATGCAGGATGTGTCAAAAATCATCAGCGATCATTTAGACTCAGAAAAGGAAGAAAATTGAAAAAACAAAAGACAATAGGAGCAGCCAGTTGATATCAGCGGTACTGCCAGGAATAAAGCTCTTGGGTAGGGGTAAACAGAAAAGCTCAGATGAAAAGAGACTAAGAGGGAGCTGGGGATTTAGCTCAGTGGTGCTGTGCCTGCCTGACTAGGGCAAAGTCCTGAGTTTGATTCCTGGTACAAAAAAAAAAAAGACTAAGAGGGCCAAGAATTAGGAATCATTAAAAAAGAACTAGGAACCAGGGCATACAAGCATGTATAAGTGACTTTTTCAAAGAGTCAGTGATAGAATGGAAAGAAATGGGCTGTATGGGCAGTGGGTATGGATGCAAATCCCAGTCTTGGTATCTACAAGCTGGGTCAGCTTGGATAAGTTACTTAACTTTTCTAAGTACAACCTCTTAATTTGTTCCTTCAACTTTTCTATTGGTTCCAAACAGGAGTAGGGAAAACTATTCCAAACCTTGACAGTTACAGAAATGTTTATTGCATTTGTCTTATCAATATCTCTCATAAAGTCCATGTGTATGTTCCTATGCATGAAGAGGAGAGAATTTAGTGCATGCTCTACTTTTCATGTTTAAAAACAACTTTTAAACAATTTAGTTTTTAGATTATACCAGTTTCTGGCTATAATGTTAATATAAAAATCTATTGATTTCTTATACACCAACATTAAGTCATTGGAATTTGAAATTAAAAACAGTTACTTGGGCCGGGGATTTTGCTCAGTGGTGCAGCTGCCTGCCTCACAAGTGTAAGGTCCTGAGTTCAATCCCCAGTACCAAAAAACAAAACAAAACAAACCAACAAAACAAAAACCCATAACTTTTACACTCATACTGACAAAATTAAATATATGTATAAATCTAACAAAGTGTGTGTGAGGAAAATTATAAAACTCTGATAAAAAGAATCAAAGAGTTCTAAATAAATAGAGAGCTATACCATGTTTATGGATAGTCATTATTAAGACATTGGTTCCTTCCAATTTGGTTTATAGATTCAACACAGTCCTCCCCCAAAAATCAAGTTACTTCATGGATACTGACAAACTAATTCTAAAGTTCATGTGGAGTGACAAAATATCCTCAACAGCTAACATATAGAAGAACAAAATCACAAAACTAACACCACTATTATAAAAAGCTACAATAATCAAAACAATGTGGTACTGGTTAAAGAATAGATTAATGAAATAGAATATATATCCTAGGAATAGTCACAGAAATATAGTGAAAGGACTTAAATAAGTCCAGTCAAGAAAGGGTAGTGTTTCAACAAATGGTGTTGCAACAACTGGATATTTACATAAAGAGAGAGAGAGAGAGAGAGAGAGAGAGAGAGGAGAAAGGGGAGGAAAGAAAGGAGAGAAAGAGAGAGAATGGAAAGAAGAAAAAAAGGAACCTAGATACACCTTTCACAAAACCTAACTTGAAATGCACTATAGACTTAAATGCAAAACTATAAAACTTATAGGAATTTTGTAGAAAAAATTAATAGAAAATCCGGGCCTTGGATTTGACAATGAGTTTGCAGATTAATTACCAAAAGCACAATCTATAAAAGAAAAAAGCCAATAGTTTTGATTTAATTAAAATTAAACTTTCCTTTGTGAAAGATACTGCTAAGAGAATAAAAATACAAGCCTGAGACTGGGCGAAAGTATTTGCAAATACATGTCTGATAAAGGGCTGATGTCCAACCTATACAAAGAATGCTTAAATCTCAGCAATAAGAGCCAGATATGGTGGAGCAGACCTGTACCCTCAGTACTTGGGAGGCTGAGGCAGGAAGATCTCCATGAGTTGAAGGCCAGCCCGGGCTACATAGTGAGCTCAAAGCCAACCTGAGCTACATAGCCAAACCCTGTATCAAACAAACAAAAAGTCAACAATAAAGAAAACAAGCAACCAAATTAAAAATGGGCAAAAGATCTGGATATATGCCTCACCAAAGAAAACATACCAATATGTTCCACATCATGCTATTAGGGAACTGCAAATTAAAACAATGGGATACAAGCTACACATCCACTGGAATGAAAGAAATCCTGAACACTGACGACACCAAACGTCAACAAGGTGTGGAGTGGCAGGAGTTCTCATTCACGGTCAGTGAGAATGCAGAATGGTACAGACAACTTGGACTGGGTGGTGCAGGCAGCAAAGGTGGCCCTGTGTGGTGGATGCAGGGGCTTCAGACCCATACCCTGTGGCAGTGGGCCCCAACCTTTCTGCTTATTAGAATCATCTGTGGAACTGCAGACCAATTAGCTCAGGGTTTGGGGATGAGATCCAGGCCTCGGTCTGTATTAAATCCCAGGCGATCCTAATGTGCAGGCAGAGTCGGGAACCACTGCCCAAGTTCAGCCCCCAAGTTCTACATCAGCAGAGGTGACCATATTGGCTCACTGTCCCCTGTAGATCCACCTGAGATGCAGGGTTACTAGGTAGACTATAGGGTAGGTAAGACAAATACTCATCCACTTGATGTAACAAACACAGTAATAGAAAACAAGACAGTATAACATTGCCTTACCTATCTGGAGTTCCCCATTGTCTTTTAGGCCTAGAAAGCTCTTGCATTCTCTTTCTAGAAAAAAAACTAACAAAACCAGCTGATTAATTCAAAGAGAATGCTCAAGAAATACGGTTACATCGATGACTTCTACTCAGAGAAATCCCACAGGGGGTGCTGTATTTGAGGTGATTTAAAGAGTTGCTGAAAATCTCAAAGTAACCCAAATAGTGTGAACCCAAGATTCTCACAAGCAAAAGACAGTGAATGTGGAACATAACAAAGAGCCTTTGGGGTAAGGCCCGACTAGCATATTAAGTTAATTTCTAGACAGTGTGGTGGCATTGGATTGTGAAGAGTATTCAAATAATTTTCAGCCAACATGTTTGGCTTTGGCAAAACTATGCAATAGGCCAACTATGCTTTTGGTTCTACCCAACTTCCTTTGTGCCCTACTCTGCTCCCTTGAACCTTCCCTGGTTTTACTTTTTTTTAGTGCCTTGCTGGGGACCAAACCCAAGGCCTCGAGTATGCTAGGCAAGTGCTTTGCCACTGAGCTCTACCCCCAGCCCCCTGCAACCGCTCCTAATCCACTCATGGTAGAAAACACTGGTGCTCCTCCAGTCTCCACACAGTCCTGCTCTACATTCCCCGGCCTCCTTTGCAGTTGTCTGGAGCCGCTTAACTTGTCACAACTGACTTAGCAGGAGTGTGGGCTATCGCTTCCAGAGCAATGCACCTGAGAGGTAGGCTGGCTCCTCCATCTCTCTCATTCCCCACTGCAGAGACCCTGGGAGCCACGTATTCTAGATAGCAGAGCCACAGGAAGAAGAGGACAACCGGCTCGGCCTGGACCGTAGCATGAGGGAGAGACACATTTTCACTGCGTTGAAAAGTATTTGAGAGTTTTGCATCTTGTTTGTTACTGCAGCAACTGCGTGGCCACTGCGGACCACTCTACCTCCCCTGTCACTGTAGCTCACACTACAGTTGTTTACATGCTTGGCGGGAGTTTTGTATTGGAAGGACCCCAAAATAATGATCTTTGTTGCCCAACACAGTTGGGAGCCAAATGAAAAATAAGCACAGGAGTTGGACAAATAGAATGAAAGTGCTATCTCTATCAGTGATAAAATTATGCTACAGAGAGTAGTTTAGATCCCCGACATCCCTGGGGGCCACCGACCCCCTCCTGTAGTGGCTGAGCTTGCAGTGTGACAGGAAGCAGATCACAGGCATTACTCGCTGTAGACAGACAGGGGCCAAGGAGAGAGGACTTAGAAGGGCCAGTCCTCCATCCCAAGTCCATCAGATAGGCATCATTCCTACACCCTGTGAGGGTTGATTAAGGGAAGCAGCGAGAGGCCAGATAGACGCATGGAGGCAAGTTCCCACATGGAGAGTAATAGGGAAGCGTCCTCCTTAACCCTCAACTAAGCTCTGCCACAGACTCAACTGCTCACGTCAGGATAAGCCACAGCGCTGGTCAGGTGGGACTCGGTCCCTGACTTGGCCCTTAGAAGCCTATGTGAAGAAACATCCTCCTGTTTAAAGGGTCAGGGATGTACCATGAAGCTCTGGTCAGAAAGTGGGAGAGGGCAAGGGGGACCCACGCTCAGCAACTCCCAATGCTGCACATTAACAAAACTGAGCAATTACCCAACCTGAAGAACAAGCTAAAATCCTTTCATCAGATTGTCTATTTCCAAGCCGCTGTGTGTTAATTATCTGGTGTTGCCCCTCAGCCGTTTTTTGTTTGTTTGTTTGTTTGATTTGATTTGATTTATTTATTTATTTTTTAAAGATAGGGTCTTGCTAGGTTGCCCAGGCTGGGCTTGAACTTTCAAAAGTCCTGCCTCTGGTGAGCGAAACAGTACTTTCCACCAGAAGAATGAGGGAGCCAAATGCACCACGTTACTGTTTTGTTACTTTGGTTTAGTAATTTAGAGGTCTTTTCATTCATCCACAAAAACAAGAATTGGTTTTGTTTACTGTTGATTTTTCCCCCTCCTGTGGATGAAGCAACTGAAGCCTAGAGCAACGAACTAATGCTACTGAACTGTCTAAATTATTTTTGTGTTAATAGTACATTTTGAGTATCTAAATGCACCACGTTACTGTTTTGTTACTTTGGTTTAGTAATTTAGAGGTCTTTTCATTCATCCACAAAAACAAGAATTGGTTTTGTTTACTGTTGATTTTTCCCCCTCCTGTGGATGAAGCAACTGAAGCCTAGAGCAACGAACTAATGCTACTGAACTGTCTAAATTATTTTTGTGTTAATAGTACATTTTGAGTATCTTTTTCCACATTAAAAAGAACTTTCTGAATTATAAATGTTTTCCTTACATTATTTAACAATGTACACTGTTTAAAAAAAAAACAAGTCGAATAACAAGAATTGGTTTTGTTTACTGTTGATTTTTCCCCCTCCTGTGGATGAAGCAACTGAAGCCTAGAGCAACGAACTAATGCTACTGAACTGTCTAAATTATTTTTGTGTTAATAGTACATTTTGAGTATCTTTTTCCACATTAAAAAGAACTTTCTGAATTATAAATGTTTTCCTTACATTATTTAACAATGTACACTGTTTAAAAAAAAAAAACAAGTCGAACCTTGGGGGTATCCAGCAGCCGTTAATTGTACATTTTGCACTAACTCTGGGTGTTGCGCTTCTTGTAAGATTGCGCTTTGTGCTTCAGTTTCATACCTTTGTAGACTTATTTACTGAAACGTTCAAATAAACCAAACTTGCTTTTGTTAAAAAAAAAAAAAGTCCTTCCTCGGCCTCCCAGTGTATGGGATTATAGGTGTGCGGCAACCCCCAGCCTTTATTCTGGCTTTTGCAGCCTTGGAGCCTTATCTTAACTGTGGTATGGAAGCTGTATAAGCACTTATGTCCATAAGCAGGCCATAATATTAACAGCAGGACACAGTCCACCAGTGCCTCAGCGTGGTGGTGCAGCGATGAATCTCAAGGACCTGGAATTGGTTTAATAATTCCTCTCATTATTCCAGTATCAGCCTTCAAGATTCTGGATGTGATAATTTTGTTGTTTGTTTGTTTGTTTGTTTGTTTGTTTGAGATAGAGTCTCACTGTATAGTTGAGACTGACCTGGAACTCACTATGTAGCCCAGTCTGGTCTCGAACTCACAGCAATCTTCCTGCCTCAGCCTCCCAAGTGCTGGGGTTACAGGTGTGCAACACCACACCCGGCTTTTGGATGTGATAATTTTCAAACTCCTTTTTTTTTTTGAGACAGGGTCTCACTATGTAGTTGAGACTGACCTGGAACTCACTATGTAGCCCAGGCTGGTCTCGAACTCACAGCAATCTTCCTGCCTCAGCCTCCCAAGTGCTGGGATTACAGGTGTGCAACACCACACCCGGCTTTTGGATGTGATAATTTTCAAACTCTTTTTTTTTTTTGAGACAGGGTCTCACTATGTAGTTGAGACTGACCTGGAACTCACTATGTAGCCCAGGCTGGTCTCGAACTCACAGCAATGCTCCTGCCTCAGCCTCCCGAGTGCTGGGATCAATCACAGGCATGCACCACCACACCCGGCTGGATGTGATAATTTTTAAATGAAGTACCATTTTCTTTTCTATATTGAGACATAACATTTGAGCATCTTCATGGGGTATATTATGGTTAATCATCAAATGGAGTAATATGCATTTTCATTTTTTAAAATGTTAATCATTTTTATGTGTTGGGGATCTTATATTCTTTTAATCAGGTTGTTTTAATAATTAACCCTACTGTGTTCTGGTGCCCCTTCCGAGCATTTTTTTATCCTTAAAAAGTTACTTAACTCTCTGAGCATTAGTTCATTCAATAAATATTCATTCAGCACTTACTACAAACCAGGTAGGCTCTAGGGCTAGATGTACATTGGTGAATGAAACAGAGCAACAAGTTAGGTCAGAAAGACACTCAAGTTAGGCCAGAAAGACACTAAATGAAACAAAGTAAATATAGACTGTGTTAGACAGCAAAGACCCAGAAGGAAAAATAAAGCAAGCAAGGAGGATCCCCAGTGTGTGTGGGGAGAGGGCTACATCTTCAGTAGGATGGTCAGAAACACATTACTGATCAGGTTGCATTTGAACAAGGCATAACTCTACAGATTTTCAGAGAATAATCTTTCCATTCAACATCAAGTTCAAAGGCCCTGGGGCATAGAGTCCATGCGTTTGAAAAACAACAGGAGAGGAAGCTGGAAACAATTACATGAGAATAGTTCAATCCACTGTGTGCCTGGCAATGCTAACCATGGAATGGGCACTCAGTAAATGTTAGTCACTTTTTGCTTTTTACCAGCTGCACCTAGCATGGTACCTTGTATTTAGTAAATGCTGACAAATTGTTTAAAATTTAATTTGCATTTAATTGTTTAAAATATAAGTTTTGCTAAGTGTTCTGCAAGGGAAAATTGTGGATCAATAAATGAAGTAAAATGATACTTTTAAGATAGTACATTTTTTTGCTAGGTCAAACAGAGGTTAGGAAGTGGTGAAATGGTATTCCCTCACGCAGCTGCTCAGGTCCTGTCTCCCCAACACCCCAGCCCCACTAACTCCCACCTTGCCTACTGCCATTATCTTCATTTCAGTCCCTTAGGACTTTGCCGCTTAATTTAAGGTTTCCAAGACTGAACTTTCAAAATCCTTCAGTGTCTCCAAAGGTAATAATAATAATGTGAGTCTAGAACCTTCAGAAAACTTCAGGACATCAAATAGAACCCTACACATCACCACAAAGAGGCTAGCAAGGCTGTCCAAAAAGCCACATTTGTTTCTGAATTATATCATCCCAGTATGTTACCTCCCATTGATAGTAAAAACTATGGTTAAAACTTAAATGTGTCCTTGGCCGGTCATGATGACACCCGTCTGTAATTCCAGCACCTGAGGCTGAAGGATCGTTGTGAGTTCAAAGCCAGCCTGGGCTACATAGTGAGTTCAAAATCAGCCAAACTACACAGTAAGACGTCATCTCAAAAAACAAAAAAAACAGGAAAAAAAAAAAGCAACCAAACAAAAAACCCATAATTAAAAATGTGTTAAAAGCAAAAGCTGGTATTTCTCATGATACTGTTTCCCCTTTAATACATTTTAGCCTCATGGAGGCCCAACATCTGTTTTCAGCAGACATTTTTTGGGGTCTTTTGTCTGTACACAGATGAATACCTTTTTCCTTTCCTTCCTAGCACTTTCTTGGTTTCATAGCTACTGTACTTGAATGAAAGGCAAAGAGGATTGAGTTCATTAACCTGGAACTTCACAAAATCTAACATAAGATTGTCAATGCAGATTCCTAAATCCTTGAAAAGCTCTGATCCAGTATGAAGCAAATCTACTACAATATCCAGCAAACGAGAAATACAAGAGTGCTCCTAAATCTCAACCTTTTTCTCATTTCTCTTTATTTTCCTTCTTTCCACATGGAAATTGTAATTAGAAAGGGGCCCATGACAAAGAAAAAACATAGAATCTCCTTCTCAAAAACCCCAAGATATGCTTTCCCTCCAAATGTCCCCAGAATCAGCCCCATCCAGCTCAGCTGGCCTGCCAGTTTAGGGGTGTGAGAATAGTACGATAGCCGAAGTCTTACCATTTTCTTACGAACTGGTAGAAGTCAGGGTCAGCTATAAGAAAATAAAAGCAAAAAATTAGATTCAACAGGAATCAATGACATGAGAACTATAGCATCTTACATCAAAAGAGATAGAAGCTAGGACAAATAACTATATAGGGAAATAGCTGAGTTAAGTGTGTATCAAAATAAATCACAGGCAAATCAAGAAGTTGAACATTCTTTTCAAAAACTAAATTAGAGAGGGGAAAAGGGGCATCTAATTGATCACTGAATTTTAATCATCTAGAAGTAAAGGTGATGAAAGAATAATATAAATACATTAAATATTTAGAATTTAAAACTTCTGTGTCAAAAATAAAAACTTACAGAGAAAGCAAAAATTTGGAGAAATATCTGGCAGCAGATATGATAAAGGCATACTAATAATCAAAGAAAATAAAGTATAAACTAAATAAAGTATAAAATAAAGTATAACTAATAAGAAAAACACTAAAATAGGTGACAAAAATAGATAAGACATAGAAACAATTCATATATTAAGACACGTGAAGCACTAATGCACATAAGAAAATATTCCAGCTTGCTTAGTCAAAACAATGCAAATTAAAAACTACATATTTTTCAACAATGCAAATTAAAAACTACATATTTTTCAACTATCAAATTAGCAAAATTTCTTTACAAAGAATAATGAGGCTAGAGGGGTAAGCTGAAACGAGTTTCTTATGTATTGCTGTTATAAGTTTAAATTAGTAAACTTTGTGAAAAATAAAATAAGTCAGCAATGTTTACTTTTATTAATCTATTTCTTTTTATAGAAATGTTCTCTAAGGAAGTAATTCCAAGTACGGGCAAAGATTTAAGTCCAAAACTGTTCAGTGTGGTGTCTTTCACATTGGAAAATTTGATAAACTAGAAATATCCAAACCAAAGAGATGGTTAAGAAAGTGAAATTTCATGTTTAGAAGTATTTTTTGTTTATTTTTTAAAGTGGGAAAATGTAGGCAATGATAAGGCCAGCGTATTCAAAGTCTTGTCAGTAAGCCTCATTGTAGATTTAGCCCAGTGAGGGCCAGGGATTTAGCTCAGTGGTTCCAGTGCCTGCCTTGCAAGCACAAGGACCCAAGTTCGATCCCCAGTACCAAAACAAAAAAAAAAACCCCACAGATTTAGCCCAGTGGTTCTGCCACCTGCCTTGTTAAAAAATAAATCTCATTGTGGGGACCTGCCCCACTATTTATGCCCAAGCAAGCTGTGAGCAGTCCAGGCTGTAGAGTTTACCCCACAGTTGGCTTGTTTTGAGAAGTGAGTCCGACCAAAGCCTACATGACTACATAACACGGCAGCAGAGGTCAGAGTGACTTGCATCCAAATTCCATTCCCAAAATTAGAAATGCTTTGTCGCTTCTCTTACAAGCCTTTCTTATATCAGCAATGTATTCCTAGTAACCACATGTGACCCTCTCACCCTAACCTAATTATAATGTCACCAATAAATATCAACAGCTTTGGCTGGCCAAGGCCTTTGCTGCTGGCTCAAGCACTGACCATCCTGGCTTCCCATTTCTGTCTCTCACTCTTTAATTCTGTCTGTGTATCTTTGTCATAGGACTAAGCAGGAGATTGGGACCCACCTCAGGGATTTCCGATGCCTCATAGTCAGTTGTTCCAGACAAAAATCTCTTCTTGGGAGTTTTTAGTCACATCTGAGAGTTCTAAAATAACATTTTCTATCCTCTGGAGTGTTTTGGGTAAAGGAAAATGGGTAAACTCTAGCATCAGAAAGACAAGATCAAACACATTTGGATGCTTCCTCAACAGCCTGATCTTGGTCAGGTTGTTTCCTGAGGTTCAGGTCCCTCTCTCAGAAGAGACGATCATAGGAGGGTCGGTGTGAAGATTACTGAAATGCACATGTAAGTAGAGTGCATTGCATATGGTGGATGAATAGTGGCTGGAATTATTAGTTACAACTTCAACTGCTTCAGTAGTCTTATAAAACAATGGTCCCCAGCTTTTTTGGCACCATGGACCAAGAAATGGCAGGGTAGGGTAAAGTTTTTTTTTTTAATTGTATGCTTTTGATACATAAAAATTAAATCCCAAACACTGCCTCAGCTCCACCTCAGGTCATCAGGCATTAGATTCTCAAATCATCACATGTTCCGATTAAGGATTCTCTAGGAGCCCACAACCTAGATCCCTCACTTGCACTGTTCACAGTGGGGTTTTGTGATCCTCAGAATCTAAAGCATCCCCATCCCTGCTGATGGGCAGCAGGCAGAGCTCAGCTGGGTGAGGCCAGCACTGGGAGCAGCTATAAATGCGGGAAGCCCAGCTGCACCGCAGGTCGCTAATAGGCCGCCATTGGGTACTGGGGACCTGGCTACAGAACCAACCATTCAACCAGCTATGCCCTGGGTTCCATGTGCGAGCACAGAGCGAAGTTGAAGAGAAACAGATGGGTAAAACACACTCTTAGGGAGTATGCAACCTCCTAGGAGACAGGTGAGAGATTTTTTTTTTAAAGTGTGTAAATGGAACTTGCAAACTCAGTATTTTCTATTTTACTTTTTAAGACTAAACTGACTGAAACCTAAAGAAGTGGCAAGTAGTCTGTGAAAATATCATCATGCTATCATCCATAAAAGTTGCAGCATCTGTTCTATGGATGTTTCATATATTCCCAGCATTGGCTTCCAGCTTTACATACTGAGATCAGAGTAAGTATAATGTTAACCCTGACAGTGCAACTACAAATACCGATAACATGAATGAATAATGCTCTTTCATAACACGGTGCCTCCCTCAAAAGACGCTTCTGATGTTTCCTTGCTGACCAGAAGGCTAGAATTGCTCTTGGCTGCTGTACTGAGGGGCAGTGTGATTCCAAACCTGTTGCTGTTGGAATCACCTAGGGGTCTTTAAAACCTTCCAGGGTCTAGGCCACTTCCCACGCCAGTTAAGCCACAGTCCCTAGAAGCGGACTGTAGGTATCAGTATTCTTTGAAGCAGAGAAGTATGGAATTACTATAGTATTGTTTAACTGCTAAGACCCCAGGCTTTAGACTCAACTGCCCCGACCCAAACGTGGCTCTGTCCTCTAATCTTGGCCTCTCTCCAACTCATGTTCTCGGGCTAACACAGGTTCTTGCCTCACAAGGTGGTTAGGCAAAAGTTAAATAAAGTAGAACATCCTTCCTAGTGTTGCAAAGATAGTAAATACGCAGTAAATGACAGCTCTTGTTCTAAAACTTCAGGAGCTAAGATTTTACTTAAATATAAATTTTTTAAAATGTAAGTAACTGTAAAGTTTACTTATTAAAGAGGTATTTCCTTTTAGGGTTCAAAATATTAAAATAAATATTAGTGAAAGGCACTATGAACATGTACTCATATTTTTGTTGGTCTATCTGTTTACACCCTCCCCTCATTTGAGATTTGTTTACATAAAAACACACATAAATACACTACAATAGGATGAGTCTATCTTTATTTTTTATTTGTTTGGTTTGGTACCGGGTATTGATCTCTGGTCCTTGTGCTTGAGAGGAAGGCAGTGGCACCACTGAGCTAAATCGTCGGCCCAAGATGAGTCTATTTTTAAAATGAACAATGTAAAGAGGGAGATCAAAAAATAGTAGGAGGAGAAAGGGAAGAAAAATGGATGAGGGACGGGGATTTAGTTCAGTGGTTCCGCCACCTGCTTCGCAAGTGCAAGGTCTTAAGTTCGATCCCTGGTAACACACACACACACATACACAAAAGGATGAAACGAAAAAAGAATAAAGCCCAACACAGCATTCCATAGCATCTGAGCATTCTACCTTCACAAGCAAGGACAGTAGCTTTTCTTAATACAGTAGGCCCTCTCTCCCTGTTTTTGCTTTCTAGGGTTTCCAGTCAACCAAAGCCCAACAATATTGAATGGAAAATTCAGAAGTAAAAAATTCTTACGTTTCAACCCATTTTTATTACAATATGTTGTTATAGTTGTTATAATAAACCATATTTCCCTGAAAATAAGACCTAACTGGAAAATAAGCTCTAGAGCTGGTCATTACAGTGGTGATGCCAGTGTCACACAGAAGTTTACACCTCACTAGCGTCTTGCCTGGGTCAGGGGAGCACTACTCTGAGGCTGGGAAGACACCAATAAGCTGACTGGGGCTGGCTTTTTTTTTCTTTTTTTCTTTTTTTTTTTGGTGTTTTGAGACAGGGTCTCACTATGTAGTTGAGACTGACCTGGAACTCACTATGTAGCCCAGGCTGGTCTGGAACTCACAGTGATCCTCCTGCCTCAGCCTCCTGAGTGCTGGGATTACAGGCATTGCCACCATGCCCGGTGGGGCTGGCATTTTTGATCATTATTTTTCAAGGCTGTTAGGTCTTATTTTCAGGGAAACACGGAATTAAGACCGCTGTTGTTATTACTATTGTTACTGATCTCTTACTGACCCTAATTTATACATTAAACTTCATCGTGGCAATGCACACAAGGAAGAAGGATAGTATATGGGTCAAAACAGAGGTTACCAGCCAGGTGTGGTAGAGCACACCTGTAACCCCAGCACTCGGGAGGCTGAGGCAAGCGGATGGCTGTGAGTTCGAGACCAGCCTGGGCTATATAGTTAGTTCCAGGTCAGCTTCAACTACATAGTGAGACCCTGTCTCAAAACAAACAAACAAACGAACAAACAAAAACAGAGGTTACTGTATATGCATGTCTAACAAAAACTCCTCTATGAGACACTTTCACAGTTATTTGCTTTTCCCAATAAAAACTGATCGAGGAAAATGTATTGGCCTGAAACAACCAAAATAAATGCAAGTGTGGGATAATTACAGAGCTCTCTCTACCAAAACCAGCACTTAAAATGGGAAGGGAAGAGGCAAAATTTTTTAAAAAATGGAATTGGTAATTATTCTTGGGAACATGATCTTAAAATTGTTGAGTGTTGTTCAAAGCAAGCTTTAAACACTATTTTAAAAAGCAAAGCATAACACAGTGACACATGATAAACACATAACAAATGAGAGAACATAATA